CTTCTTTTTTACAGAAAGAAAAATTCTTCACACCAGGTAAATCAGTAATCAATAGAAACAGAATAACCTTGACCTGTTTACCTTTAGTTGTGAACATAAAGGTAAACTTTTACAATAGAAACAACAAAAAACCCACCATTCTATCAGTAGATATAGCCCATCTTCAGAGAAAATAATCGCATCTAGTCTCCTGACAAGAACATGGGCAACACCACAGTTTTATTATCACGTGCTCAGATACAGTAATTTAGTGATTACAAAATCAAAGAACCTATCACATCAACTTTTTATGATTCTACCTTATCAAAAAGCATAGAATTGTTTCCTAGAGCTTAAACTCTTGTAACATTTTTAAATATTTCCTTTCCTTTCTCTCTGCATCCACACCAGCAACTATTGTTTTTGGACTTTTTAATAAAAGCTATTCCAACTGGGATAAGGTGATACCTCATTGTAGTTTTAGTTTGCATTTCCCTGATGATTAGTGGTGCTTAGCATTTTTGGAGGTATCACATTACCGGACTTAAAACTATACTACAAGGCTATAGTAATAAGCATCGTATTGGCACAAAAATAGAGACATAGACCAATGGAACAGAACAGAAAACTCAAATATAAAACCATCCACATATAGCCAACTGATCATTGACAAAGTAGTCAATAACATACAATGGGGAAAAGTGGTGCTTTTCAATAAATGGTGCTAGGAAAATTGGATAGTCACATGTAGAAGAGTGAAACAGGACCTATATCTCTCACCACTTACTAAAATTAATTCAAGATAGATAAGGGACTTAAATGTAAGGCATGAAACCATAAGAATTCCAGAAGAAAATGTGAGAAAAATTCTACTAGACATCAGCCTAGGCAAAAAATTTATAAAGAAGAGCCCAACAACAATCACAGCAACAACAAAAATAAATAAATGGGACTTTATTAAATTAAAAAGATTCTGCATAGCCAAGGAAATAATCAACAGAGCAAATACACAACCTATAGAATGGGAGAAAATATTTGCAAGCTATATATCGAATAAAGGACTAATAACTAGAATCTGCAAAGAACTCAAGCAAATCAGCAAGAAAAAAATCAAACCACCCCATTAAAAAGTGGGCAAAAGACATGAACAGAAGCATTTCAAAAGAAGACAGACAAATGGCCAATAAACATATGAAAATCACTACCAATTGATGGCAAAAATGCATGGTCATTCTTAGAAGGCCATTCATTCACTGAATATACATTTGTTGCATGAGTTCTTGGTGCTGGAGTTGAGAAAAATAAGAAAAAATTAATGACATAACTAGAAGTTCTGATACTTTAGTAGTGCTCATCAAATTAGAATCTGTGCTTTTGAGGGCTAGGCATGGTGGCTCATGCCTGAAATCCTAGCACTCTGGGAGGCCGAGGCAGAAGGATCGCTCAAGATGAGGAGTTCAAGACCAGCCTGAGCAAGAGTGAGACACCATCTCTACTAAAAAATAGAAAGAAATTAGCTGGACAACTAAAAACATATATAGAAAAAATTATCCTGGTATGGTGGCACATGCCTGTAGTCCCAGCTACTCAGGAGGCTGAGGCAGAAGGATTGCTCAAGCCCAGGAGTTTGAGGTTGCTGTGAGCTAGGCTAATGCCATGGCACTCTAGCCAGGCAACAGAGTGAGAGTGTGTCTCACAAAAAAAATAAATAAATGAAAATAAAAGAATTTGTGCTTTTGGAAATTCCTCTAATTTTTAGCAATCTGTTGCAAATGGTGATCTGGGGCAGGTATTTTAATCTGAATACAGTTTATAGATCTATATTTTGATTCTGAAGGCAATTCTCAGTTCAAAGCACCTGGAAATAAAATTTCTTTTTATAGACTGTCATGAAATACCATGGCAGAGACTGACAACTTATCACCAAGCCTATTCCCTCTTCTTCCTGGGTCTATAGTTAGACTACATTTCCCAGCGTTCCTTGCAGTTAGATGTGGCCATGTGACTGAGTTTTAACCAATTGAAAGCCAGTGAAGGTGATGGGCTCCTTTCTTACCGTGGTCCAAAGACATCTCCCAAGGAACTTTTCTCCATGCTTCTTCCCCTTCCTCCATCTTATTACAGATAAGTCTAGTGACCCTAAAGCCAAATGTTAAAGATAGCAGAGCCATACATAGAAAGAAACTATCATCCTAAATGGCTAGTTTGAAGGCCACTCTCCCAGAAATTCCACACTGAACAATTATATGAGCTAGAAATAAAGTTAAGACACTTAAATTTTGGGGGGTTACTTATTATAGCAGTTAGTATTGCTCTGACAGATATTTGAGTGCTATTACATATTTAATTTCCTCTTACCTAAGAATAACTGAACTAGCAGATAATATGATTGTATTATTAATATAGGTCCTCTTATTTCAATAATCAGGAATGCATTAGGTATTTAAAATCACCTTTATCAGTTTTTCTCTAATTGCTGATTTGTTTTGATATTCATTTTGTTCTCCACCAAGATTTGCTAGCAAATAAGTCAAGTTATAAAATAATAAAATTGTGGGTTTTTTTCAATTTAAGAGAAAAATATAAAGTTTAAAGCTGATGGATAATGGAAGAAAAATTCTATAGGCTGGGAAAAGACTTTCAAGTATTTTGTTTTGTCTCAAACTAACTAATGGGAGGAACATCAAATATCCCAGAGACGCATAGTGGAGCCTGGTCGGCAGGAGCAAAATGTGAGATCCCCTGACCTGACTCTGAGCATCTCAAAGGGAATGACATCATTCTGTCCATCCATTTAAAGATTTGACACTAAAAGAGCCCAGTAAATTTCACCCCAAAATATCACTCCTTGGTATAAAGAGTATTTCGAATTAATGGTCCTTAGAGATCAACAGGCCTTGGAAGGGGATTTCCCTCTTTATTTATAAAAATCCTTACTCATCCAAAAGAACAACTGACTTTCCTTCCCCTCCCTGTAATCTCAATATATTGCAGGAAAGAAGACTGAAAATGCAACCAGACCTGGACCAAATCATTTTAAATATAATACCTTTCTCTCAGGTTAATTTAATTTCCAAAGAGAATCATTTACAAGTCAGTCTGTTTTCCCCCATCCACTCATTCTCCCAAGTATCTATTCATACTCCCAATATGCCTATAACCACTTATTACCCCTAAATAGAATTACCTATATTCCTCATCTCTACCTGCCCTCTGAAATAAGAGCATACAAATTTCTGGACCCTATCGAGATATTGGGTAATCACTCTGTGATTCTCCCCATGAGCACAGTAAATAAATCTCTTTCTTTTATTAATCAGCCTTGTTAGTCTGCTTTATTGTGAGTTTATCTTTCAGCTAACCTTTCAAGGTACAGGGAAAATTTCCCCTCACTTGCACAACACAAAGAAAGCTGAGCCAAGTCCCCAAGTGAAGAGCAAGACCTCCTGGTCCCTACCAAATTGGAGGCACTCAGGTGTGGCAGAAAGGGCATGGACTTTGGTATCAAACCTATTTTTGAATCCTCATATTTCCACTTGCTGCATGTTTTTTAAACCATTTTGAATTTCAGTTTTCTCACTAGTAAACAAGGAGTGATAGATAATACCTCTCAAAAACACTGCGACGATTGGAGATAAAGTTTCTAAAGTCCTAATGAATAAAGTATCTCCATAAATGGTAATTATTATCAGATTTATTATTAATTGTGCCTTCCATGTTTATAAAATGCACACAGAGAAAGCTTGAACCATTTGTATCAAGGTACAATATACAAGGTACAATATACCAATTAGGTTTCCTTTCTTGTTCATGCCATGGCAAAATTTAGTTCATTTTATTCTTATCATTCAATAATTAGGGCAAAATCATGGCAACCATTTCTAGTAATCTCTTGGAAATGAAATTCAACAAATACTATTCAGGTACCTTTACTATGCAACACTTTGTGCTAGTTTCTAAATATGCTGAATCTGCGTTTTATTTGGCTCTCAATGGTTATTTGTAACCCTCTATTGTCACCAAGATAAGAATTACCTTATCTCAGGAGAACTGAGACTTTTTTTTCCTTCTAAATAACTACTTCAAGGACCACTGAGAGATAAAGGTGTCTGTTGCTATCACTGCTATAACCTTATGCAACTCTCAGTATCCCAGAGTGATGTATAGTACACAGAGTAAATGAGCCTCTTATAAAAGATTTAGAAGCAGTGAATGGAAGCTAATTTGTGGAATGTGTATGTTTAATGCTCTGAGATTGTAGAAGGACACTAAACGAATTAGTGAAAGAAGGGGCAAAGAATAAAGAAGCCCCTTTCTTTTCATTTCCACATGAGTTCAGTGAATATATTCTAATATTCCCATGACCTGAAGCTTACCACAGACAAGGAAGACCATATGTTTGGTTTGGGCATGGTGTAATTGTAGAATGTAAGTGTTCTTAAGGCTGGGACTGTCCAGTCCTGCCAATGCTTTAAGCTCTTATTAATCAAGCCTTATTCTTCTATCATCCCCAACACTGTGCCACACCAACCTCGTGGTGCACTGTCACCATGGTTACCACTAATCATCCCTGCCTCCTCCACCTGCCTGAATTCCACCCCTGACCTACTGAAGAACCGTGAAGGCAGGAAGCTGTCACGGGCAGGTTTGCAATGCACAGGCAACACGTCACATTAGCAATAACAGAAACTCACTGGTCCCTCCTCTCCCACAGACTACTCTGAAAAGGCACTTCTGCTGTACATCCCGTTGGAGAGCAGTGGTGATCTGAAGAAATGCTTCCTCTTGAAAGAACCCTTTTTATTCACAGTGGAATACTCTTGAATTTTGCAGATCGTCGAACGCACACACAAAAAAAGTTTTAATAGTTGAGGAAATAAGCCTAAAGAAAATGTGTACCTAATCCTATTAGCTGACTTAATATAGAATTATTAAAAGCCTTGATATACAGGATTTAACACAATCTTTCTAGCAGGGTGTGATGTAATCTGTTTTTGTTCCTCAGCTAGCAGATGGCTTACCTTTAAGTAATTTCCAATATGTTAAGAGATCAAAAGCCATCCTCTCGCCACCGGAGCAGTAATCGTTCTTCTCTGCTGGGGGTTGCTTGGTCCTGTGGTAGGGATATGCAAAGGCTCCTGGCATTTCCAAAGATAGAAGGGCGACATTTCTTCAGACTTTGAAGTTAATAATCCTTCAGAAGTTGAAAACTGAGGGATTTTTCAAAACCTTTTTAATGTTCTATATGCCATGTGTGGAAAGTAAATATCTGTAAGAAATCACCGAGGGCTGGTGTGAAGCTTGGAGAAGCGCTCTGCAACCTCGAATGCCATGGACTGGCGCTATCTCTTTTTGCGGAAGGAGCAGATGGATCACGCGTCCATCGAGTAATGTTCTTTGGAGGATGTGGTTTCTGCGTTGAATGTCCTGTGAAATGACGCTGGAAAAAATGTAAAATTCATTGAATAGGCCGCTATTGCTGGGCCCACACGGCGGCATTACTGACAGGCCTATCTCCGCAGTCAAAACATGACGCTTCCTAAGCTTGCAAGCTTTCAACTGCTTCCTCCAGCATTTGTCTAGTTGTTGGAAATGATCTATTGGTGAAGAGATGGAGTAGATTGCATTTGGGATTCTGTTTGATCTTTCCTACGAAAGAAAAAAAAAAATGTTCTGTCTCTCAACAGTTGAATATGCTCCTAATGGATCCAGAGCACAGAGTTATTTTTTTAAAGTCCAATTCAGATTTTCATGACATGCTGAGTGATAGAACCCTGCTGGATTTTGAGTTAAGACAAACATAAGTGTCTCAAGGTCTGTTACCCCCTTTGCTTAACGCACTTGCTTTTGATACTGAGAGGTTTCATTTTAGTCCTTGGACCGGTTGTTTTCAGGCTACTTAAAACAAGAGAAAAGTCTCCATAGGAAAATATATTCCTAGGCATGCAGGAAGCCTAAGATTGGATCTTCTCCTTAGAGATATAAAAACAGGTTGTTTTAACTTAAATAGTAGGCCCCTCTACTATCACCCTGTCCTCTTTCTTACCACTTTGGTTTATGCATTTGATAGTTGGAACATTGCAGGCTATGGAGAGATAAATGAGCATCTAATAGTCATCAAAAGAGATACGAGGAGAAAATATTAAATAGAATTCCAGAAATATATACAAGAATCCTGCAGGTACCAGGTTTCATTTGGATAAATAGCCTGTAGATAATCAAAAGGATGAAATGGAAACTTGAAATGCCCTCATATCATTTTCTCTCTCCACAAAAAACCATGCATGAATGGAGAGCACCTATTTTCCCAAAGTAGACTCACTGGATTGTTTGGAGCTATAAGCCATATCTGCTCTCTATTCTGACCCTTAGCCAACAAGGAGCCATATCATTCCTTGAAGTCTTCAAAAGATTCTATAATGTATTTTCCTGTTTTGATTTTTCCATTATTTTAAGTGTCCTGAAATTATTGATCTAAGCAATAAAATAAATGTCCGCATTTCAAAATCAAGGAGTAGTGAGAGTTAGGTGGATGATTTGTAAAAGCTCTTATACAAATCTCCCTCTTTCCAGAATGGTCTCCCCACAACTGCTCCCCATACTCTCAAGAATCTCTTTTTCTGTGTTTAAAGACCACTGTTATGTCTCTGCTTTCTTCTCTTCTGGATGAAAGGACCCTTGATTTCTTTAACGTCACTTTATTTAAGGCCTCTTACTTTCTCATGGGTCTCCCCTAGGTTCACTCTCAAGTTGTGGATGAGGGTGCAGAATGTGCTGATTCAAGTGTAAGGCTGAGGCTGTGGGCGGCCATGGGTTTGTAATTTCCTCAGTCATGGAAGTAAAGATAGTCTGACTTTGAATGGAATGGTTAAAACCTAATTATAAATGCCTGGAGAGTCTGGAAAATGGGGAATTTTGGAAAATCACCAATTCTATTTGAACAGTGGTCTATTAGGTTGGATAATAAATGCCTATCCTCTGAGACTAGAGAGGTAGAGTGGTTAACTGTCATTAGACTAGGTAAGTAAGATTGGGGTGGGCCTAGGAGGGTAGTCATGGAAAGCAAAATGTCAAGGGTGTAAATGAAACTAGTGTTATTGCTCAACTATTCAGCACTGACATGTGTGGTTACAAAGTGTCATAATCTACAGCATGCTCACCCTGAATATTGCTGAACACTGAGGAAATAGTTGCTTAGTTCTTGTCCTGCCCCCACCCACAAGAGAGGAGACAAGGCTTGACGTTCCTGCGCTTCGTACTGGGAGAAATGAGGAGCAGGCTGAATGGGAGGGTTCTGTCCCCCATGCTTCCATGGCCTCCTTGCAACCAGAGCAGCTCTTCTAACCTCCTCTGTTCATCTTCTGAGGAAGTTCCAATTAGCAATAATTAGCTGCTGCCTAATTATTCAGCTCCCCTTTCCCATGGGGGTGTGCCCCACATTCCTGCTGCACCTGAACCACAGTTAATCCATAAATCAGCTAATTTGACACTGGATAATGTCAAATTGATTGTATAAAATACTTGTTGGATAATTGGGCATCTAATTTGGAAACATGAGAGAATTTTGCACCAAAATGAGACTCAGCTCACAGAAAACTGTGATGATTCTCAGAGAGTTCTGGGTTCCTTGAAAAAACAATCCTGCATAAATCACAAGGTCAGATCTCTTCTCCTGGCTCCTCGGGGTATAACAATATTCTCTCTTAAGCCTGGGTGAAGAGAGAGATCCTATCCAACTGAGATTGGCTTGCAGAGTGCTGACAATTGCCACCTTCTACCTCCACCTTCCCATATCATAGACCAAGGAGCAGGTTAATTTCTTGCACTCTGAACTCAGACTTTGAATTCCTGTTCTTGTCCCTTTGTTAAAATTACAGGAAAAAAACTGCCCATTCCTGTAGTGAATGCAGAATCACAGTGCCAAGATGAATTTTTAGAGCTTAATAAATTCATCTCTCTGCCTTTCTGCAGCACTGTGCCCCTTGCCACCGGATCTAGAGCTCCTGGGATTTCTAGGCAGCGTAGAAGGAATGCAGGATATCTGTGCCTACAGCACACAGTCAAAAAACCCAGCCCAGCAGTGAATGCACAGCACTTTCTGTATTCCTACTGTGCCCTGAGTAAAGACTTTTCACTTCATACATCATTCACAACTTGCTACAGGGATTTCACAAAGCCAGTACATACCCTTTACACAAAGAAAAGAAGAAAAAGAACAGACCGGGGAAAGGGAAAAAAAAAAATAAAAGAAAGGCACTTCTGCCAAGGGTAGCATTATCAACAGGGAAATTAACAAGGCACATTGTAGTTGAAGATGTTAATCAAATAAACAAATGGAGTTTCTCATTCTGTTCACACATTTGAAGAAGGCTAGAAAATCTCAGAGTCAAACATGGTTAGACAGTTTCATTTCCTCCCTGGGCTCTGGTGCCACGAGGAACAAGGCAAAAGATGAGGGAAATTGGAAGCTACTTTCCCCCTAGAGAGATCTGGTAAGCAGATGCTGAGTTAGTGCCACCATCTGGCCCACAGAATCCCAGGGTCCCAGAGGAGGGTGCCACCTGGAGGTGCTGGAGGTACCATCAGCGCTGGCTGAGGGAGGGCCCAGCATGCGGAGGGATGGATGCCTCAGCTGAGTCCTTGAGTGTCCCAAGCCAGGATGATTTTTTGCACAACGAGGTGAAAGGACAGCTTACTTCTTGCTGATCCTTGAGGGATTTCCCTTTTTTACACAAAACCATTCCTTACAAGCCTTGTCATTATTTCTGAGTAATGGCCACTTCTACTAAACAGTAATTGAGACCCCCTCCCCCCACAACTCTGTATCATATCATATTCTGGTTGGGCTTCAGAGTAGCCTGATGGGCAGATTTGCATAGAAGAAATTAAGCCACAGAGAATTAGTCAGAAGAATTAATCAGAGATAGAGTCATTAGTTTCCAAGTAGTGAATTAATTTGGGAAAACCACTGGCTATGTCGCTTTCATTGTCTTTTCCTCTTGAGAAATAAAAAATGTTGATTTTTGAAGGTTAGTGGAAAATATCTGGGGCTGTAAGCTTGTGCTTTGATATCACTGAGTCATTTTAGGCACCAATAGCTCATTCCATTCTCCTCCTCACTCACACTCACCCCATCTCCTTCATGAAGAAATGAAGGGCAAGTTGTTTTCTATGTCCCCTGAACCCAGCATCACCATTTAAGTTACTAGGAACCAGATGCTGAGTGTACAGGGTCCCAGGACATGTCACCTGTCTGCTTTGCTCTTAGCCTGCCTGGCCTGGGAGCCCCTCCCACACCACACCGTAGCAGGCACACAAACAACCTCAGGGACAGCAGATCTAGGCAATTGTACGTGACCTCCACTTACTGGCCAAGTTCTACCCCTTTGATGACTCTTGGTTTCCTTATCCCTGTCTTTTCCTGCTCTTTTACCTGGTTATCACACATCCTCTCCCAACTCTGGGCTTTGGGATATCTATTCTGATCCCTTTTTCTGGTTTACTAAAAAATAACCCACAGCCTCCCCCATCCAACTCCGAGATTGATCCACTCCCCTGACTTGGGCACACTCCACAGTTCTGAGCAGAGCTCTCTCCCTCAGCCCGGCCTGTGGCAACCTGTCAGCTCTGATCTCACCTTTCCAGAAAGGGGCTGTGTGTTTTAGGCTTGTCCTGAACAGCTAGGGAGGTGGAAACCTCTCATAGAACTCTGAGTTCGGCTTCCCTTACCCACACAAGGGGTCAGTCCTGCAAAAACAAACTAAGGAAGAGAAGATCTTTGGGGAGAACCAAAAACACTTATGCACCCATTTATTCATTCATTCATTCAATAAATATTTAAGTTTCCACTATGTGCCAAGCATTGTGTTAGATTTTAAGACGCTGATAGGTCTCCCATGTTTGTACTGCCAAAGAGGATGTAGCTAATACTTTTCTCATATGAATGGGCTTGGAATAAAATCACCATTGGAGTATTGCAATTTTACGTGGCCAACCAACAATCAAACTGTCTGATTGTTGCCCAAGGCCCAGATGCCAACAACATGTTGCTCCAAAGATCACTGTGGTAGACTGCTTATAGAAAATGTGATGTATAAACCTATGTCAGGATGTATGGTTTCAGGACAATATCCAATTCCATTATCTCTCCCTTGTGGTCTTCTAATGATTATTCTGGGATCTGCCTGCTTTGTGAGATGTCCCTATATGACCGCAACAGGACTGACTCAGCCCTTCATCATCATCAGCGTGTGGATTCTAATATTCACCATGTGTTTGATTGGCTTATCTGCGTCTTGCCTGGAAATTTAGTTGAGAGGAAATCCAAGATCATAAGATGATGGAACAGATATTTAAATTACTTACCACAAGTAGCTGGTTTTGTTTTCCTTTGTTTTACAGAAAAAAAAAAAATCAAAGCATAGTTGTGCAACTGGTAATGTAGTCTGCAATAGGACTCACTCCGTGACTCGTTTCCCTAGGAAGAAACACAAGTGTCATAGTAAGGAATAAAAATCCATGACAAGAAGAGACTGATAGAGTGTGCTCATAAAAAATGAATTTGAATATATTCGGTGGCTTGGGAAGGAGGCAAACAGGGTAAGGCTTAGAAATGAACAAGATTCTAATGGTTTCACTGTGGAAACAGTACAATGCTTTATTTTCAATGATACTGCAGGCAGATACTGGCTTAATGATACTTGTTCATAAAGGCAATGTAGATTGCATATTTTGAAAACTGAAGAGAGAAATTCTTTAGATAAAAAAATTATAGGGTTTTTATGGGTTGTTTTATTTGATCAGCCATTATTCCCTCAGAAGTCTTTAATAACTCTGTGGTACCTTCAATGAAAAGCTTTCCTCAACAAAGGTACTTTAAAGAGACAACTTTTTAATACTGTCCTGAAAGATAAAGAGAACCTATTGAAAATCAATTGAAGAACCATAGGCATGTTGCCTTCCTGTGGTTGCTAGAGATTTGGAAGAATTTCTGCCCAAATTGTGCTGGATTTGTAAAGATCTCCATAATAGTGTTTGGATTCAGACCAGCTTTTGTTCAAAGCATTGAAACAGCAGAAGAGGGGTATGCAATAGAAGGATGTGACTAGAACAGGAGAGTTCTAACTCTGAGAGCAGAGTGGTTCCTCAGTGTCACTAACTACATTTCTCCCCACATATATCACTGGGGAAAATGCTGGATCATTAGAAGGTAGGTATACGGCTGGCCAATTTCTTTGTGAAATGAGAGAAGGAAAAGACCACAAAAGCCCAGCAACCCTCCATCAGTGCTCCTGTCTGCCAATCTAGGTGAACTAACAGGAGCAGGTGTTTGTGATGTGGGCCATGTTTTATCATTTGACTTAAAGGAACAGAGTTCCCATTCACCCTGTTTAGAATTGAGTCCACAATTACAGGGAGCCCACCTGTTGTTCTGCAGGTTTTCTACAAATGACTTTCCCAAAGGAAACTGAAATACACTCATACTAATATATTAGAAAATCTTCTTTAAGGCAATTCTAAAATATTCAGAGTTTGGAAGTATGATTTTTCTTGGAGACAATCACAATAAGTTTAATATAATAATTATGAATATATGCTCTGGCACTAGATTGCTCAACTTTAAACCTTGGTTCTATCTCTTACTACCTGTGGAAATTTACATATTTGCTACTAATAAATTATAATTTATTAAACCACATTAAACCTTAGTTTCCTCATCTGTAAAAGAAGATAATAATTGTGTCTACCTTTTAGTGTTGTCATGAAGATGAAATGAAATAATATGTATGAAATGCTTATCAGAGTACCTGACCTATAATGAGAGCTTAACAAATATTAGCTATAATTATTATCAGTCATGTGTATCTAATAACATTAACACAAAAAACAAACAGACTAATGGCCAAATAACATATGAAAAAATACTCAACATCTCCAAGCATCAGGGAAATGCAAATCAAATACACAATGAAATATCTCTTAACTCCAGTGAGAATGGCTTTTATCAAAAAGTCCCAAAACAATAAATGTTGGCGTGGGTGCAGAGAGATAGAAACACTCTTATACTGCTGATGAGACTGCAAACTAGTACAACCTCTGTGGAAAGCAATATGGAGATACCTTAAAGAGTTACAAGTAGAAATACCAATTGATCCAGCAATCCCATGATTGAGTATCTACCAAAAGGACAAAAAGACATTCTATAAAAAAGACATCTGCACTAGGATGGTTATAGCAGCACGATTCACAATTGCAAAGATGTAGAAACAACCCAAGTGCCCATCAATACATGAGTGGATTAATAAAATATGGTATATGTATGTCATGGAGTTCTACTCAGCTGCAAAAAACAATGGTGACCTAGCACGTCTTGTATTATCCTGGATAGAGCTGGAGCCCATTCTACTAAGTGAAGTATCCCAAGAATGAAAAAATAAGCACCACATGTACTCACCAGCAAATTGGTATTAACTGATCAACATTTAAGTGCACATATAGCAATAACATTCACTGGGTGTCAGGCAGGTGGGAGGGGGAGAAGGAGATGGGTATACACACACCTAATGGGTACGGTATGCACTGTCTGGGGGATGGACATGCTTGGAGCTCTGACTCAGGTGGGGCAAAGGCAATATACATAACCTAAACATTTGTACCCTTGCAATATGCTGAAATAAAAAAAATAAAAATAAAAAAATTTTCAAGACATCTTGGGAAGCAAAATTTTTTCTTTTTAATTTTTTTCTTTCAGATTAATGATTTTTCCCTTTTAGTTTTAGTTGGTATATAAATAATTGTACATATTTCTGGGGTACAGAGTGATATTGATACATGAATACAATGGGTAATAATCAAATCAGGATAATTAGGACAGCCCTCACCTCAAACATTTATCATTTCTTTGAGTTGGAAACATTCAAAACCTTATCTTCCAGCTTTTGCAACATACACAATAAATTACTTTTAGCTATATTTACACTTCTATAGAACACTGGAACTTATTTCTCCTATCTAGCTATAATTTTATAGCCATTAACCAACCTCTCCTTATCTTTTCCTTTCCCCACCCTTCCCAGCTTCTAATAACCATAATTCTACTCTCTACTTTCATGAGCTCCATTGGCTGCCACATGAGTGGGAACATTCAGTATTAATCTTGCTGGCTTATTTCACTTAACATAATGACTTCCAGTTCCAGGCATGTTGCTGCTACAAATGACAGCATTGTATTCTTTTTATGACTGAATAGTATTCCATTGTGTATAGATATCACATTTTCTTTGTCCATTCATCTGCTGATAGATACTTAGATTGATTCCATATTTTGGCTATTGTGAATAGTGCTGCAATAAACATGGGGGTGATTTTCTTTCCTTTGGATAAATATCCAGCAGTGGGTTCCTAGATCATATGGAAGTTCTATTTTTACTTTTTTGAGAAACCTTCATACTGGTTTTCATAGTGCCTGTACTCATTTACATCCTCACCAACAGTTACAAGGGTTCGCTTTTCTCTGCGTTCTTGCCAGCATTTTTTTTGTCTCTTTGATAATAGCCATTCTAACTGGGGTGAGATGATTTCTTGTTATGGTTTTGATTTATATTTCCCTGATGATTAGTAACACTTAGCACTTTTTCATATTTGTTGGCCATTCTGTATCTCTTTTTTTGGAGAAATATCTATTCAAATACCTTGCCTATTGCTTAATCAGATTATTTAAGTGGTTTCTTTTCTTTTCTTTTCTTTTCTTTTTTTTTGCTGTTGATATGTTTGAATTTTTGTATATTCTGGATATTAGTCCCTTGTCAGATCAATAGTTTATAAATATTTTCTCTCATTCCAAGATGTCTCTTCACTCTGTTGGTTGTTTCCTTTGCTGATCAGAAGCTTTTCAGTTTGATATAGTCTGATTTGCCTATTTTTGTTTTTGTTTTCCATACTTTTGTAGTCTTGCCCATAAAATCTTTGCCTAGACCAATGTCCTGAAGTTTTTTCTCTGTGTTTTCTTCTAGTAGATTTATAGTGTGGGCTCTTATGTTTAAGTCTTTAATCAACATTTTGAGTTGATTTTTATATGTGGTGAAAAGATCAGTCTAGTTTAATCCTTTTGCATATAGATATCCAGTTTTCCCAGCACCATTTATTGAAGGGGATGTTCTTTCCCCAGGTGAGCCAGTTCTCTAGTCTCCAGGCAGCATGGCCAAAGGAGGCAAGGTTGTTGTCACTAGCAACGGCTGGGTTAGGTGGCTTTCAGGTTCTGGAGAGCATACACTTTGGATCCCTATGTCCTGGGGGCAGCCTCTCTGATGTGCTGGACTGCCTGTTCCCTGGGATATATGGCACTGTGTGGGCTCAGGTCACATAGCCAGGGACATGGCTGCATTGCTGGGTCCACCTGGTGTTGCAATGCTGCAGTCCTCTTAATGGATGTGTGGGGTGGTTGGCAGGGTTCAGGAATGTGAGATGCTGGGGCTATTGGCTCCCAGGGCAGGATGTAGTCTGGTGGTGGCTCTGTTCTCAAAATGGGCCCTTGCTGTAGCAGCCTGGATCCTGGGGGGAGGGGAAGTGGAGCATAGCGTGAACCTCTTCTCTGGAACAATGCAGCTGTATGGACTCTAGGGAGCTCCCTACACTAGGCCCTCCTATAGCTACACTTACATGTACAGGTGGGGGGAATGTAGGCTGCTGGGAATCTCTCACTTAACCTTCTCCCTGCAATGGAGAGTCCCTCTTGGCTCTGAGCTGATCCCAGCCAGCTACTTTGCTTCCCTCTCTATGCTGATCTTGAGTATCCATGTCTCAGAAGGTCAATCCTTGCTGAATTCCAGTGTTTCCCCTTAGATGCTCTGTTTGACATGTGGTTATCAACTCACTGTTTTGGTCCTTCTTTGTGGAGAAGGCAAGTAGTAGGCACCTCTAGTCAGCCATCTTGATGATATCTCTGTAAGAATTTTGGAGTAAATGAAGATATATGCAATGCTAATGGATGAGATATCTCCCTGTAGTTCAACAGCCCAGTTATGCCTGAAGAAACTTGGCTGCAGGTGTGAACAACCCCTATGTGGTCTACCGCATCATGAGAGAGCAATGGCAGCTCTAGGAGTCAGACCAAGTCATATTCAGACTGTTGAAAAATGTTACATTCAGCAAAGTATTGGAGGCAGCACAGGTAAAAGATGGGTATCACCTGGCATTCTGCCTGATAAAGCAAAGTGAAAACGAAATTCTATGAGCAGCATCGGTGTCTTAAGGCTGTGTACTTTCTTTATCATCATGTTTTAAGAAAGAATCAAAGTGCAATATTGTCCAGAAAGAGGAAATAACTTTCATTTTAACCTAAAACAAGTTCATGCCCTGCTAGACACGAAGACAATTATAAAACTCCAGTGGTTAAGGCAGTATGGAATTGTCACAGTAATTGACAGATCAATGGAAAACAATAGAGTTAAGAAACATACCCACATAAATTAGAAGCTA